GCCTGGATTATCCAGGTGGGCCCAGTGTAATCATAAGGATCCTTAAAAGTGGATGAGGAAGGCGGAAGTGGAGGCAGGGGACATGTGACTACGGAAGAATGGTTAGAGATGCAAGGTAGCTGGCTTTACAGATGGAGGAAAAGGACCACAGGCCAAGGGATGTGGCTTGAAGATGGTTTAGAGCCTCCAGAAAGAAATAGCTCTATGTTGATCTCAGCCCAGTAAGACCCATGTTGGACTTGTACAGAACTAAAAGATAGGAAATTTGTGTTGTTTTATGTCGCTAAATTTGTGGTAATTTGTTACAGCAGTACTAGAAACCTAATGCAAATGCATAATAGACACCCAACACTCATTTGTTGAATGATGAATGAAATTGCAAAAACCCTTGGGTCTACAAATGGGTAAAAGAGAAATAAATCATTCACAGAATACAAATGGCCAACAAGCCATTGAAAACACCTCCAGCCCTGCGGATACTGAAGAGATGCAAATGAAAACCTACCAATTAACCTGACCCTTTGGGGTCCTACCCACCAAGTTATCCAGAAGGGGACATGGGGCTTCTCTGGGATGACTGGGCAGTGACCTCCAAATGCCAAATGGGGGATGGGAGGCAAACAAGGCACTTTAATCCACGCTTAAGTTTGGATGTTTGTACTAAAGCTTTTTAAGCTGTGTTTGCTTTATGAGGAAATAAAAACCTCTGGAATTGGACCACAAATTCCTGGGCATGACTAATAAAGGTCTTGGGGGTTATCCAGACCAATATAAAACTGTAACTGAGACATTTATGATCCAAGTATGCTGAGGTCTTTTACATGGGGTTTTATAAGCTGATGAGCTGATGTTTACATACACACCCCCATGGGACCTTGAAAAATATAAAGGGAAAAATATTAAAAACTTATTAGACTGTATTTTCCTTTTAACCATTCTTCTTTACAAAGTACACATTTTTCCCAATAGAAGATGGTTTTTGCTTTTATGTTCTGAAGGGTCCCTAACATTTTTTGTTTTTACATAATTGATGCTTTGTTTATATAATACTAACAAAAAAATTTATCTGTATCTATACCGTGTAAACCTCAAGATACTTAGAAACAAAGCATAAAAAGAATACAAGCCACCACCATACCACTCACCATCTTGAGTTTTATGAACTCACATTTATTTGTGAAGGATGTTATTCTTCTTAAAGTCCTAAGCAGAATAATAATGATTATTGCATCATGGTATTATGGTTATGCTCAAATCTTTAATCAATTTTATGGAAACATGCAGACTCCAAAAATGTTGCCAGATTTAATTTTTGTAAAAGCTGGGGTAAATCTGTCTAGCAGAAAACCTTTTGTTAACTTTTTTTTTTTTTAAAGATTTTATTTATTTATTTGAGAGAAAGAGAGAGAACACGAGAGGGGGGAGGGTCAGAGGGAGAAGCAGACTCCCTGCTGAGCAGGGAGCCCGATGTGGGACTCGATCCCGGGACTCCAGGATCATGACCTGAGCCGAAGGCAGTCGCTTAACCAACTGAGCCACCCAGGCGCCCTTTTTGTTAACTCTTTACATTGCAGATGATATCACTGCAGACTAAATGAGATGGCTAGGTGAGACTTTTATTACCTGCCTTTGGGCCCTAAACTTCCCACGTGTCCTTCCCTTATCACTTGTCAACTTTTCCTCTTTTCAGTTACTACAATTCAGCAATGATGGATTATATGTTCAGTAATTTCTCATCTATTCATATTTGTTACTATGGTCTATTTTGATATAAGGCAATATGCACAAACTACAAAATACATAAAGCCAGCTGCCAAAGTAGACATCAAGCCTATGTACCCCCAACTATGCTGTTCTATAAAGTAGGGTTTAGCTCAACTACAATGTGGCCTGACTAACCTCGTTGATGAGAAATAAAGAGAAATAAAGCAACAGAAGTGTTAAATCTCAGCTACTCGGTTACAATACAGTTGGAGCATTACTAGTTTTAGTTTTTGTGTCACTACATTAGAAACTTAAGAAAGTTAAAAATGACTAAAACCAGCCAGTATATCTAACAGGTTATGTGCAAAAGGTCATATTTATTTATTACTTTTTTAAAGATTTTATTTATTTATTTGAGATGGAGAGTGAGAGCGAGAGCCAGGAGACAAAGGGAGAGGGATAAGCAGACTCCCCACTGAGCAAGGAGCCCGACGTGGGGCTTGATCCCAGGACCCTGAGATCATGACCTGAGCTGAAGGCAGACACTCAACCGACTGAGCCACTCAGGCGCCTCAGAAGGTCATATTTAAACAAGTTTAATGTCACAGTATTTGATAGGTTCTAAGGTTGCCTTATGCATTTTGCTGTAATGAGTAATCAAATAATGTATAATAAGCCAAAAATTATGTATGGTGTCAGGATAAACCAAGTAAAACTATTTTTTGGCATCACTGCCGTAGTCTAAATTGTTTTTGGTACAACCCCGTGACTACCAAGTTATATATGATCACAACTCTACACCCAGATACTGATCCTTGGCCCAGTCCTCAACGGAAAAGGAACAAGCTCCTTAGAACGCTGTTTTCCAAACTGTAGGCTGAGTTCTGTTAGTGGGTTATGAAATCAATGTACTCACCGTGAGTAGTTGCACAGATTAGGGAAGCAAATGCCAACATGCATTAACCACACTAAGCAAAGCACTTGGACACCTTAGCTGCAGTTATCTCTATGCACGGGCATACAAACATGGACTAAGTCCTCAATAAAAAATGGTTTCTTACTAAGAGATACTGTCAAATAAGTTTGAAAAAAACAGCCTTAGTGGAATAGTTGTCTCTGATCTTGGGGCTGGGGCTTGGGACGGGAGATGTCTGGGGCAAGCACTTGTGAAGGCTTGAGGTGGTACCCTCTGATGATGGTACAATGGGGGTGTAGAAGGAGGGGCTGATGGAGTAATGATAGTTTGTGGGATTGCAAAGGGGGGTTAAGAAATGAGTTACTTGGGGCGGTTGAGCCTCTGCCTTCAGCTCCGGTCACGCTCCTGGGTTCCAGGATGGAGCACTGCATCAGGCTCCCTGCTCCACAGGGAGCCTGCTTCTTCCCCTGCCCTTCCTCCTGCTTGTGCGCGCTCTCTCCCCCTCTAATAAAATCTTTAAAAAAAATGAGTTACTCATTTGAAACACTATTAACACACCCCCCCCCATCAAATATCACCCATATTTCTGGGCTCAGTAATCCCTGCCCTTCCCAACCAGGTCCCAACCTCCCTTTCCACCTACTCTCTCCTTTGCCCCAGGCTTTCCTGTTCCTCCAGCCAACATTCCACGTCCCCTCAGTGAATCACAAGCCTTTACATTGTCACACCTGTCCTCCCCTCAGCCCAGAAGGCCTCTCCTTGTGAGCCACCAGTCCTTCTTGTAGATCAGTGTTTGGCCATGCACTTGCTGGCTGGTCTCCCTATCAGATTAGTACCACTGCCCCATCCCCCACTCGTGGCTAGGGTCATGTTTTGCTCACTGCAATTCCCTGGGGTGCTTAGCATCCTGCCTCGTACTCAGTAGGCTCTCCGCAGATTTTAATTTTAGTTTTGCTTTTTTAAACACACTTTGAATGTGTTAAATAACTAGTGTTACAAAGATCCAGTGCATCCTGCACTGGTGCCACCGGGTAGCCTGGGGGTCACTCGATTGCCAGGTGAATGGGGAGACTACTGGTGGCCTCACAGGACCCAGCTTTTTTATCCCCTTTTCTGAAGCTTACTTTGAGCCAAGATCATGAGGCCATCTAGGGCTCATTGTGTTTATTTATTTACTTTAAAATGATTTATTTTAGAGAGAGAGAGAGCACACACACAAGTGGGAGGGCCAGAAGGAGAGGGAGAAAGAATATCAAGCAGACTCTGCACCCAGCAGAGCCCGACATAGGGCTTGGTCCCACAACCCCGAGATCACGACCTGAGCTGAAATCAAGAGTCAGACACTCAACTGACTGCACCACCCTGGTGCCCCTATTTATTTTTTAAAATATTTTATTTTTAGGCCCTTCAAATTATCTTCTCCATGAGAGGGACTGAAGAAAAGGACCACCTATTTTGTGGAAGGTGGAGATGCTGGCCACAGGGAAGACCGCATCAATAGGCCTATTAGAAGGACGAACTAAAGTATCTACCATGATTACTTCTGTAATCTGGTCAATTAATAAAGGACTACTTTCAAATTGAAAAAAAAATTATTTTTAAGTAATCTCTACACCTAACATGGGGCTTGAACTCACAACCCTGAGATCAAGAGTCACATGCTCCATCGACTTGAGCCAGCCAGGCCCCCTTGTGTTTATTTATTCTTAAAGATTTTATTTATTTATTTGAGATAGAGCTAGAGCAAGTGAGCAAGAGACAGCATGAGGAAGAAGCAGGCTCCCCACCGAGCAGGGAGCCTGACATGGGGCTCCATCCCAGGACCATGAGATCATGACCTGAACCGAAGGCAGATGCTTAACTGACTGAGCCACCCCGGCACAACCCGCCCCCCGCCTTGTGTTTAGTTTTAAGCTTTTTGTTGTAAGAAACTTTCAATATAAAAATAGAGGAGTGGGGTGCCTGGGTGGCTTAGTCGGTGAACAAAAGGGGCCACACAACTAAAGGACTCAGGGTCACAGTCAAGGTCAAGTCTTGGGTCTCTGCTTCTTCATCTTTCATATATACATTCTCAGCAACCTGAGATAATCACCCTGGGGCTCCAAGAGAAGTGAAAACTGTACCCTCAGGAAGAAAAAGAAATAAAACCAGAGCTAGTAAATAAGCAAATGTAAATCCATGGTACTGAGATGTTTATGATCAGTTTCAGTATTACACACAAAGATCAATAATGTCATTGTTCTACTACTACTAGATGTGTCGGGTCTACTGTTTGAGATGTTAAAGCATTTAAAATAATTCTATACATTAAATTTGGGGACTTTAAATGCTGAGAATATTTAAGTAATAATTGTTTAAATGCTTGAAAAATTATGAGTGGTTAAACCTGAAAGTTTCCATTTATTGTGAAAGCGGTTTATACGCACTTAGAAAAAAGTTAATCACTATTTCAAGAACTGCTCATTTGATAAATTTCTTAGATTAGTGGATTGATCGCTAAAAAATGCACAAAGGGTCATAGGTTTTCTCCTCCACACTAAGCCCTTGGGACATAAGGGGTTTTAGAAGGCTTCCAGGATGTGAGAAAGGGATGTGCCTCTTCCTCCCTCCTGGCCTGTGGAGGGAGGGTGGAATGAGGAGCTGGAGCTGCTACAGTCCTCCTGCTGCCTGGATGGCAGTGGCTGAGGGTGGAGGGAAAGGGTGGAGGAGACCTGGAGCTGCTGTCTTGCTCTGGGAGAAGCCCTTTCCAGAGGAGATTTTAATTACTTGTAACTTGATGGCCTGTCTCTCCACCCCACCCCCACCACCTTCTCAACCTAGGCGCCCGCTGGAATCTCCCACTGATGCTGCCTGGGTCCCACCCCCAGAGATTCTGATTCCACTGGTTCAGGATGCAGCCTGGCATGACACTGCTGACAACTCCCCAGGGGCTTCTAATGAGCAACCAGAGCTCAGAAGCATCACTCAGACTGTAAGCTTTCTTTTCCCTTTATAATTTTATGTTTCTTTCTCATACTGCCAGTACCTTTCTCTGTTTCTTCCCTCTCCTACTGGACTGTGGGCTCCCAGATGGCGTTCCAAACAATGCACGTGGCCCTTCCTAGCTCCAGGTGACTCCGAGTGCCTGTAGCTGACAGAAGCAGTAGTCACGCCTCACTTAGAATTTAAGCACTACAGTTAATATTTATGGCACCAAGTGAGTCAAAATCATCCTTGATGACACTCAGGAAGGCTCTACCCTACGGCCTGATGTCCTGTCTCCATCACCATCTCCATAGACCATTTCCTCCAGGGTGCGAACAGAAAGCTGCCTCCTCTACCAGGCAGAAGAAGTAGGTGGTCTATGTTTAGGGGCAACCTTGCATAAAAAATACACATTTAAACCCATGCCTCACCCTCAGCACAGCAGGATGCTCACGCCCCGAACAGCCCACGGGAACCGGAGTGACTGACCCTATAGGAGAGAGACATCTCCCATCACACCCACTCCTAAGCATATGGTCCTTACATCCACCAGTGGGTGGAATCACCCACACCGTTTAAACTTTCTGTCCAGGATAGAGAGCTAAATTCATGGGATAGACTGTAGGAAGGGCATCTCTCCACTGCACCACTCTATCCAGCTCAAGCAGGTTCCTTGCTCCCTTCTACCTGCCTAGCCTCTGTCCCTCCCTTCCCTCCCTCTCAAAGGCTGATGTTCCTTAGGACTCTATCCTTGGCACTTCCCTCTTCTCCTTAAGGGCTCTCAGTCCTCTGTAGGACTCCTGAAACCATCCATATAACCAACAGTGAGACCTTCCTCCCCAGTTAGGAGAGATGTTGCTCACTTTTGCTCTGGGAAGCGGGGGAGGGAAAGAAATCCTCATCTTTGTAGGGTACAAAGGAACACAATAAATGCTCAATATTCTGTTTCAACAAATGAATGCATGGTAAGAATGGAACTTTCATCTGCCTCCACAGTCTCCTCCCATTCACCCCCAAGATTTGTTCTGAGGACTAGACTTCACTTGCTCACCTGCGATCCCAGGCCAGGCCTTCTGTCACACCAAGCCACACCAAGCTCAGCAGTGCTCACAGGCCTTTAATCTATAACTGCCTGGCCACATTCCATCTCTCCCCGAGGGTGGAGGGGAGGGTTCAAGTTGTACAGCCAGGTAGGCTGTGCTAGCTCCCAGTCCAAAAGGCAAGAGCTAGGTCAGGCTGGGGACTGGACAGGGGGCTCCTGGCCCCAGGCGATGAGGGAGTTGCTGGCCTGGGCAAGCTCAGTGATGGACACCCGGCCCCGCTGTCGGATGAAGTTAGCCACGGCAGCCAGTTCCTCGGGGGTTATGTAGATGAACTTGCCCCGGTCGTCAATCACACCTGTGGGGACAGGATTGTGGGGCTGAGCCCTCTAGGGCCCCCTCCCCGACACTGCCTGAAAATGCCCCCCCCACCCCTTCTCAACTGGCTCAGAGCCCTCCAGGCCTGCCTACCTGACTGGGCTCCCCTGGCCTGTCCCTGTCACCCTGAGCCACTCCCAGGCCTGGGCATCTCCCTCTGCTCAGCGCCCCTCCTGCACATCACTTCCCCACCCAGGGCTGAGGGGGGGAGTCGTCCTGCCTCTGCAACAAATCCCTGCAGGCCCTCTGTGGCTAGACACACCCCAAGGCCAGGGCCTATGGTGACTGACTCTCACCCCCTCACCTGTCAGAGTTCCTTCAGCCAGCAGGTCCTGGATGCGGTTTATGGTATCCTATGAGGAGAAGAGGTCTCAGAGCAGAGATGGGCACTTCCGTCCCAAAAGACAGCTGCACTCTCCCTCCCACCACAGTCAAATCTCCTTCTCTCCTTCTCATGGCCATCCCCAGTGTGACTCTTTGTTTCTCCTCTGGAGGGGCTCAGGAGAGACAGGGCCGTGGTCCCGGGGCCCTGTAAGACCCCCAAGAGAGGCTTTCTTCAAGGCAGGAGGGGAGTGGTGGGGACATTTGGCTGTGAAGGCTGACGCAGCCTGTTTGCAAGAGAGTTGTCAAGGTAACTGGGTTTGGGCTGCCTCGCTTACAGGGGCCGCTGGAGTGATGGGGTTTGGGCTTTTTTCTTTTTCTTCTGTCTAGCCAAAAAACAAGATTCCTGGGGTGCCAAAAAATTCCTACAGTCTACTCTTGCTTGAGGGCCTTAAGACTCCCCATCTTTAAGGCAGTCCCCCTCTGACAGCCGTATAGACCCCATGGCCACATTCCACAGAGCAGGCCACCTTCAAGGGCTTACCTGAGTCCTCAGGCCCACCTGGGAAGCCAGGTCTTCCAAGAGCACAACCTTGGACTGCTGCAAAGAGGGGGAGAGGAGAAAGCCTCTCAGCACAAGAGCCCTCTGAGGTTGGTACACCCACCTGTTCTGCTCTGGGTGGCTGGCTAAGCAGGTTCCATGCTCCCAAGGGAGAGCCTTGTTTCCCTCACACACTACTCACGCTCTCCCAGCTGCCTGTATGTGTACGTGTACACAGACACACACAGACACACAGACACACACAGACACACACAGACACACAGACACACACACACACACTCACTCACTCATCGACTCTCTCATACCCCTGCTTACTGGGAGGGATCTGCCCAAACCACTACCTGCCCCAAGAGTCCCGTCCTGGCCTGGGGATACCCTGGGACACAGGCACCCATGGAGAGTCGAGCACAGCTGCTACCTTCTCCTCTGCACCCGGCCGAAGCATTCTAACACTGTGAACAGGCTGGAAGGAGACGCACCACAGAGATGAAGGGAGGGGCTGACAAGTGCCAAAAGCTTATTAAACCACCGTCACTAGGACCTGTGTTGGCTGAGGACCGGCCAGGACGAGGAGCTGAGAAACGTGGGGCGCGCAGTGGTGAACAAAACACCGCTCCTGCCCTTGAGCTCAGAGCCGGTGAGAAGAGAGGCAGGAATGTGGACAAGGAGAGAGCAGATGAGAAGCCCCGATGAGCCAGGGTCCTGGTAGGAGAGGGGCAGCTCGCTCCTGCCTCACCTCTGCTCACTGCCGCCTTGGCCTAGAGCTCCCCACCCCGACACGCCACGCTGCTCACCATCCTCTTCACGCTCCTGAGGCACCGTGTCCACCCTTACAATCACTGTCACTCAATCTGCTCAGGGCCTTCCACACACGGCCATGCTCCACGTGCTTCCCTCACCCCCTTGGTAGAAACTTTAGTTCCTGGTGGGGGCTGGGGGTGCGGCCCAGGGTCCACCGCTGGGTCCTACGCAGGCATCTGCCCTGCCTCCCCCACAGACAGACAGCACGTGACTTGAGAGAGGGCGGTCATTTGCGTTTCCATAAATTGCATTTCCAGGAATCTTCCATAGCAAATGAGCTGGGGGAGGAGTGACACGGTGATGCCTCCTCAGCTGCAAATGGCATGTGACTGTTCAAAATGCCAAAATGAATGTGCCAGCAGGGAGGCAAGTGAGCGGCGGTCGGGCCGGGGGGTGGCAAGCACAAGGTGACCTGGCCAGCCGGCCTCTACCTACAAAGCAGGGAGCAGACACTGGGTTCTCAGTGACAGCTCAGAATGGGACCACAGAGTCGCCCCAGCTGTCCCTGAAGACCTGGCCTGAGGGGGTGCTAGGGCCAGAAGTGCGTTTACGAAAACCAACCAACCCACTCAGGCCCGCTCAGAAGGGAGAGAGGATCGAGAAGAGCAGGTTAGGCCTACGCTGCACATAAACTATGCCCGGCACAAAAACATGCCTCCAGTTCTGAAATCCCAGGATTAAAGGGCCCATTCCTCTGGAGCCTGGAAGAAGGCAGGTGGGCTGAATTCTGGAAATCCTCCTTCTTCCTGAAGACAGCAGCTCTAGGAGGATCAGCCTACACAGGCTGGAAAGACTTCTATAGTCCGGAAGAGTCTGGAGAAGCCCAGAAAATGGCCTCTCCAGAGAGCCTCTGAAAGCAAGGCCTGGACTTGTCCCCTAGGACCTCTACTCAAGTCTCTGCAGAGGAGAAGGGGAGCTGAAACTGTGGACGAGGGCTTTCTGGAGGGCAGACTCAAGACCTGCCGCTGCCCGCTGGGTAGGTGGGGATGGCGAGTTCCAAACAGCAGCAGGAAAAGTGTGGGAGATGTTCTGTCAGCCCCCGAGTGTGTCAGGGTGGAAAAGGGTTCCATCAGAGGGAAATGAGCTCTCCCCCCCACAGGAATACCAGGCCCCCGGGCTATGAGCCCAGCCCCTTACCACTGGGAGTTTGAACCCTGCTCCCTTTGGAAGGGCTGGGGGGAGGATTATGCAAGGCCTGGCTCCTTGGCACCCCCTAATAGCACCCCCTCCACCGCCCCCACTCCCTCTGCACTCCTTCCCTCAGCCGCCTCTGCACCTCTGAGCTGCACTTGAAAACCTCTCCCCTCGTCGCATCTTTCGTGGGAGAGAAGTTGCTTAGCAGCAAAGCAGAGCAGGACGTGCTTATGCAACCTGGAGCAGTACCCAGCATGGCTACAGACAGAGGGGGCCACACGTGTTGCCCCGCCCTAGATTCCAAAGGAAACATCATCCTGTTTCCCTGAAGACCCAAGTTCCTGATCAAGAACACGTGGCAGGGGATGCTTGTTTCAACTCAGCAGAGCCTCAGTGTGACAGAACTGACAGAAAACACATGTGAAGAAACTTGAAAACACAGTGACTCACTGAGCATGGGGTCTGAGGAGCAAGGAGGCTGTCAAACCCTGAATGTGAGGAAGTGATTGAAGGCTCAGGCCTCCCACACAGACCAGGTCCCTCTCCACTGTCAAAGAAGGGGCTCTTATGGCCAGGACCAGGCAGCTCAGACTCCCAGGTCCCCTGCCCACTCCGGCATGAGATCCACTCCCTCCACGCCCAGAGAGTGCACATGACACACACGCACACACGCGCACACACCACACACACGCGTGACGCAGGAAGCTGACGCCCAGGCTCTGTCCTGTGGCTTCTTACCTTAATGTAGTTGATGAACTCAGTCAGGAAGCTGTGGGACTAGAGGAGCAGAGAAATTGGGGTAAGTGTCCCCCTTGCAGGGGCTACAGGGGTCTATGCCTACCCACCTGCCTGCCATCTGCGTGAGCAGAGCTTCCCACAGTGAGGGGTGCGGAGGCACTGCCTCCTCTCCTGGGGACAAGGCCTCTGGCCACTAGAGCCTGCTGGGCCTGATGCCCACGCACCTCTCAATGCCTGACAAGGGCGGCAGGCAGGGAATGATGGGGTGTTTGGCATGGGGTGGAGGGCTTGGCGGGCAGAGATGAGCTCTCCAGGGGAAGCGGGCCCACCTGTTCCTCAGTCATGGTCTCGCCCACACCTTCCTCCTCCACCACGAAGGCTTCCTTCAGTTTCAGGTACTCCTCGTGCTCCCGCTGGGCCTGCTCCTCCCGGGCTTTCCTCTCTTCCTCCTCCTGTGGACAAGAGTCAGGTACACTGGGGGCGGATGCCCACCCCATCCCTGTTCTGGGCTCTGCTGCCCCCACAGGGCACCAGGGCATATAGTCCGGCCCTTTCTCAGGGACAGAGTTCCTTCAAGACACTGCTCACTCAACCCCAAGATGAGCTACAGGCAGAGGCCCCTCTTCTCATCAGTTCCATGACCTCCCAGACGTGTGCTGCTCAGCCCCCTCTCCTCTAAAATCCTGCCAATGACCACCCCCCTTTCCTGTCATGTCCAAACTCTGTGGACAAACACGCAGGCTCCACTTCCTCATCATCCATTCACCCCTCCCACCCACTCCAGTCTGGCTTCTGATACTCAACCCCACCGAAACAAGTGCTACGGCCTCAGCCACCATCCATCCCACCAAATCCAAGGGACAGCCGTCAGCCTCATAACCCTGTCCTCTCAGTGGTGCTGGGGAGAACCGACCTTTTCCTCTTCCCTTGCTGGGCTAGCAGATCCCACCCTTTCTTGGGTTTCCTCTTGCTCCTTGGGCCATTCTCCTCACCTCCTCCATTGCTCAGCCCTGTCCCTCCTCCATCCTCCCCTTCCTCAGGCCACCTCGCCATGCCCACAGCATCAACAACCACCTCCCTGCCAGTGACTGCCACAGTTGTACCCCTGCCCCAAATCTCTCCTCCGTGACACACCCACGTGGGCCATCTTACAGGCACCTCGAGTTGAGTATGTCCCAGAGAGACCCTGTGATCTACTCCCCACACGTCCGGTCTTCCTCCTGGGTCCCTGGCTCAGTGAGTCATACAGCCATATGGCCCGCTGGTCAGAAATAAAGTCCTATCTACCACTTCTGCCTTCAACTTCCGGAAAACTTCTCAGTCCATCCATGTCACCCCATCACCACCACCAGCTAGTGCCATAGCTTCCCTCCACGTCATCCTATTTTCCACAGCTGTCAAAAAGATTTTTTAAAACACGTAGCTAGGGTGCCTGGGTGGCTCAGTTGGTTAAGCGACTGCCTTCGGCTCGGGTCATGATCCTGGAGTCCCGGGATCGAGTCCCGCATCGGGCTCCCTGCTCAGCGGGGAGTCTGCTTCTCCCTCTGACCCTCCCCCCTCTCATGTGCTCTCTCTCTCTCTCTCATTCTCTCTCTCTCAAATAAATAAAATCTTTAAAAAAAAAAAAAACACGTAGCTAAAGCTGGGACAGGGAATATACAAAATAAGCCTGGAGCATCTTGCAATGCCAAAAAGTAAGAGAGTACTCAGAAAACAAAACAATGAGGTTACGTCAAAGGTACATGGGGACCAACTGCAAGAGCTCCTGATGACCTACATAACAAGATAAATAAGATAATATCAGATCATAACGCAGTGCACAAAACTAATATCCACGAGTCCACGTTGGTATAAACAGTTAAATATATACACAGGGAAGAAAGGTAAATCTTCCGTACAAAAAAATTCCTGATACTTTGCATACTCTGCTCTTGAGAAGGTGGAGAATAACTCCCCACCCCTTAAGTGCGGGCTGCACATAGTGACTTATTTCCAAAGAACTACAGGAAGGAGGAAGTAACATTACAGCAGACAAATCTGGCAAATAAAACCTGAGCCAAGCGATCCAGGTTAATATCAGTTATGACAAGTCAAGTTGACAACACGTATCCTTCATATGCTACATCAAGAATGGCACTTCAGGGGCGCCTGGATGGCTCAGTTGGTTAAGCGACTGCCTTCGGCTCAGATCATGATCCTGGAGTCCCAGGATCGAGTCCTGCATCAGGCTCCCTGCTCAGCAGGGAGTCTGCTTCTCCCTCTGACCTTCCCCCCTCTCATGTACTCTCTCTCTCTCTCAAATAAATAAATAAAATCTTAAAAAAAAAAAAAAGAATGGCACTTCCTGTGATCTTCTTCCCAAAAATCCATAACCCCAGTCTAACCACGAGAAAAAAAAAAAAAATCAGTCGTGCAAACTGAGGAATATTCTATAAAATATTTGCCCAATACTCCTCAAAACTATCAAGATCATTAAAAGCAAGGAAAATCTGAGAAAATGTCACAACCTAGAGGAGCCTAAGGAGGCATGGTAACTAAGTGTAATGTGTCGTCTTGGAAGTGACCCTGGAAAAGGACAGTGGGGGAAAATTAATGAAATCCGAATAATGTGTGGGGTTTAGTTAAGACAATGTATCGATATCGGTCGTGGGAAATACACCAGGGTAGGTAAGGTGTTAACCCAGGGGAAACTGTGTGCAGAGGAGGAGAACCCCAGAACATTTAAGATCCATCAGGCAGGATCACCTTCGGAAAGGTAAAAAAATAAAGGTAAAATCTCCCCTGATCCTTCTCTGCTGTGTTCTGGCCCATTTGCTACAGCACCCAAAGCCAGGCTCCCTGCCGTCCAGGGTCCCTGGACGGCAGGGCCAGTGAGAGGCCAAAGGCACCAGCGAGCTCTTCCTAGCTGGGGCAGCCCTGGCTCTCACTCTTTATGCTCATCACACCTTTGTGATGCTCCCTTTCTTGGGCACCGGTTCTCAGAAAGAAGGAAGCATCTGGCAAACAAATGCTCATTAGCCACCTCTACCGCAGTGGTTCCCATTCTCTGAGCATCTATTTCCTTCAGGTGAGGCCCTAAACAGGCCCTGGCTCAGGCAGGACCCATCAGTCCTTACAATGACCTTTAACAACTTCAAGGCCTTTAGGATCCAGACTCTACTCCCTCTCTGATTTCTCTCCTTCTTGCTTATCTTGTTTCAGCCACTCCAACCATCTCAATTTTCTTTACATGCTTCAGGCATGTTCAATAAATCACATGCACAAAAATGCCTGTCTCTAGCTCTGCTTTTCAGCAGCGGTTTTACACAGGTTGTGTTTAGAGTCCAGGGACCAAATAAACCAGGGCCTGCTCCTGAACCCAGTCCAAGGCCCATCTTCTAGGTCAGAGGTGTAAGGAGCTGCATGAGAAGCAAGGCTGCCCGCTCATGGGTCAGAGGTCAGGAGGGGGGGGGGGCTCTCTCACCTTTTGTTCCTCCTCCAGGCGAAGCCGCTCCTCCTCTTTCTTCCACTCTGCCTCCCGCTGGGACTCGAGGCGTTTCCGCTCCTCACGCTCAGCCTCCTCTGCCTGGAGAGAGGCCTTCATAGGGAGCACGTCCCTACCCCCCACCAGAGCCTGCCCATCTCACAAACAGGCCAGGGGGCCAAGCTTGGGTCAGACCATGGACCAAGGCTGTAAGAGACAGTCAGGCAAGCAGCATGAAAAGAGCCCAAGGGGAGGGCCTGACAGGGGATGAGGAAGGCAGGACCCTTTCACACCCCAACCCTCCTGCTTGCCTCACGCTGGGCTTTTCGCGCCTGTTTCTCCTCTAGCTTCCGTAGTTTCTTGGCTCCAATTTTCCCTGACAGGTGACTTTCCACCGGCTTCTCGATACCTTCTTCCTCCCGGGCTGAGTATGGCCAAAGAAAGACACGTCAGGTCCTAGAGAGGGCTGATGATGATGGATCCATCCTACCCCTTGTCCCTCTCCACATGGCGGCGGATCCCGTTCCTCTCACCTGCAAATGTCAGTAGCCCAGCTCTGCCCTCCACAGACATCTACCATGAACGCAGAAATTAACACTCTGAGTCTGTTTACGTAAGAGTGTGTGTGTGGGGGGGGGGCATGTTGAGGGTAGAGGGTAAGGGAAGGGAAAGGTGAGGGAATCATGGGGCAAGGGAACAGATAGTAATTTTAGATGCTGCATCGCCACAAAAAGGGAGGTGTCAGGTTCCAATATCTGAGCATCTGAAAATCACAGGCAGGGATGTTTGGGCTTGCAGACTTCTCTGGTTTGTCTCTGAGCCAAACCTCCAGGGAAGGACGGCCTCATGGGGAAATGTATCCTTGCCTCATATCTGAAATTGTCCTCACTGTGGTCAGGAACTGCTGAGGGTTCTAGGCTCAGCCCCTGGCCAAAAAGACAGCTCCAACCCCAAGACTACCTAAAGTTAGGGCCAGCTAAAAGTTAAAGACCTGTTGGGGCACCTGGGTGGCTCAGTTAGTTAAGTGTCCAACTCTTGAGTTTGGCTCAGGTCATGATCTCGTCAAGCCCCGCATCTGGCTCTGGGCTCAGCACGGCACTGCTTGAGATTCTCCCACACACACTTTTTCCCCTCCCCCTCTGCTCCTCCCCCTGCTTGTGCTCCGATGCATGCCTTGCACGTGTGCGTGCTCTCTCTCAAATAAATTTCAAAAAAATAAAGACAAAAAAACCCGTTAATGCCCAAGCAGCAGAGACGTCTGATCCCAAGTCTGAGACAAGAGGAATGGCACCACAGAGTGCCTCTTTTTTGAGCCAAAGGGGCTAATTCCCAAAAGTACAGGGCAAAGGCCTCAAATGCCCCTTCCTCCGGCTCAAGCCAGGTTTGAGCACTGGAGAAGAGATATTTTTTTTCCCACAATCCCAGGGGCTCTGTTGGTCTCCCAGGGATATGGAAGCTCTGTCAACAAAATGTCTCCATCCTCAAACCCTTCTAGGGTTACAGGTGACCTCACCTCAGGAACTGCAGAAGCTCTTGGCTAGGTACTCTGGCCCTAGGGTGAAGCTCTCAGAAAATGACTGTGCCCATACCAGTAAGGTGCAGGGATATAAAAAGTGGGCTGAGGAACTCTCTAGGTCAATCTGAAGACGCCTGCCCTCTTGCTTAGACACTGAAGGCCAAAATGAAGGAAGAGGGGGCTGGCCCAATGGAATAGGGGTCAGGGTCCAGAACCGGGACCAACGGATGGGTTCCAAGTCTCCCCTCCCCCAACCCTATCCTCTGGCTCCCAGACAGGTCTCCTACACTCTAGCTCCACACTCCACTCTTCTACCCTTCATGCCCTAAACCAGCCCCTTTCTCCTCCAGGCTGGGCCCTTCTCACCTGGAATGATGGCCTCCTCCTCATTCTCATCCACTTCTGCCCAGGCGACACGCTGGGCTCGACGCTGGGCCTGCAGGCGACTGCCCAGGTCTCTCCGGCGCCGGGGCCTGCCCCCGACTCTCTGCTCCTCAGGTTCCAGGGGCCGAGGCTGGGCCCCTGAGCCTGTTACTACCGGCTGCTCCTCATTGTGCAATGGTTCTTGGCCAGCTGTAGGGAAGAGAGGAATCACACAACTGTCTAGTAGCCCAACCCACCTGATGGCAGGGAAGCAGCAACCTGGAAGCCTCACCCTCCACTCAACTTCCTCCAGGCTCTGGCTGCCTGATGCACAAAGCCCCAGTTTGTCAGATCATAAAGGCCTTTATAACCCAGACCCACACCTTGGTCTTCTGCAGCAAGATCACCTGTTTCCTCCTGTCTTTGTCGATACCTTTCCAGCTGCTCTGTCAGAAGACTAGAACCCTGCAGGAGGAGCACCTCTGAGAAGCTCATCCTGACTTCTCTAGACCACATCTGCATGCTCACTGCAGGACTGCATTTATTTCTTGCCTAACACCACCTGCCACAGTTTTATAAGGCATGCCAACCGGGAGCACACCTGAAGTCTGAAGCTTCCTTTCCAGGAAGATTTCTTGGCTATCTGCCTTACCTCAGCTCTCTCTCCCCTGCCCTTGGAGCATGTAGGTGCTCTGAAGTAGCTTGTGGGTCCAGAGAGGGGCACAGACATATACACAAACCCCACATACTGACAAGAAATGGGGGATGGAGGATGACAGGCGTATCTGTTCTGTACCCTGGCAGATAACATGAGCTCCTGGTCGGGGCGCAGAAGAGAGAGGAGGGTGCATAGGTGCTCTCTTTGAAGGGTAAGGAGAGAGTTTCAGGGAGTTACAGCTCGTAGGTAGGCACAAAACATTCAGGTGCCGCCTTCTTGGCACCCGCTCTGCAGCCAGCCTGGGAGGAACGGGACACCCCTGCGGCCTCTCCTAGGGGCGCACAGGGGGACAGCCCCAATGACGGATGGGAGCATGTCCGCCAGGGGACCGACCCCTCTGGGTCTAGAGTGCCGGGAGGCGAGGAGAGGAATTGAGTGAGGCTGTCTTTGAGGGTGGGAGAAAGGTGTAGGGGCGCTGCCATCCCGTCCGCGAGTAGGGTTACGGCACTGCGACTCGCCGCCGGGTCCGCGACGCGCACGTATGCGCAGGCGCGCGGCTGGCCTGAAGCGCGACGAGCGCAATCCGGCTCCGAGCTGCTCTCCAGCCCAGCCAGGCATAACGGCGCATGCGCAGGAGCTGCGGGCGACGGCCTACCAAGGCTCAGGAGGCCAGAGAACGCGGCCCCACCGGCCCTGGAGCGGCGGCATCTCCTACCTGCTGTCGTCCGGCCCCGGCTGCGAGTAAGGAAAACGATAAGGCCGACAAGCAGAGCCGCCGCCACCAGGTACACCACGGGGGACACCATGACGACGGCTTCCAGGCGGAACCGGCGCCTCCACCCCGAGGCCCTGCATCTCCCGGGCCCCGCCCAACGGCCGTATGGCCCCTCCCGTTTCCCATTCTAGACTCCGCCCACCAGCCGGGGCCCCGCCCAGGCCGCGCTCTGCGTAGACGCCGCAATTTTTTTTTTTTTCTTAAAGATTTTATTTATTTCACAGAGAGGCACAGCAAGAGAGGGAACACAAGCAGGGGGAGTGGGAGAGGGAGAAGCAGGCTTCCCGCGGAGCAAGGAGCCGGATGTGGGGCTGAATCCCAGGACCCTGGGATCATGACCTGAGCTGAAGGCAGACACTTAACGACTGAGCCGCCCAGGTGCCCTGAGACGCCTCAATTTTTTACTCTTAGAGGAATTTTCGGGGCCTGCAAATACTCATAACTGGAAATTATCGCAAACAATTTTGTGCAGTGAGACAACATTTATATGTGTTTTAAAAGCATTAAGCAGCATCACAGCGTTTACAGAAACATACATATGTAGAAAAAGTACAAAAAGTTGCTTAGGAATGATAAACAACTTCAGGATAGGTGTTAGGAGGGAAAACGATGGATGGGATTAGGGGCAGAGCTTTGCCCGTATCTGTGACATATGATTTCGTTAAAAGAAGAGAGGGGAGGGGAAGAGACCAAATCTTATATTTAAATGAATTGTGATATTTTTGTACCCAGACCTGCAATTTTATACCTATTTTAGCATAAAATTAGCTATCTCATATTAGACTAATACGAGAATTATTGACCCAGTTTTCCATAGTGAGCACTCAAAATTTAAGTACCCACAGGGAATTTAAGTTTCCCTTTAATTCTTAAGAATTTTTAGGAACTCGGAACTAATTATACCTCAATAAAGTCGTTTGAAAAAAAAAATACTGGGGACGGTATGTAAACTCAAGATTTTTGAAAAAGCAAATAGCAACTACCGTAAGAGCAGTATGAAGCTTTGTGTGTGTGTGATAACACAAAGATCCAAGGACCAATGCAATGAAGTGGAAGATTTGAAAGAAGATGGCACCATGTGAACATTTTAACATTTGTTAAGCTGGAATAGTGGGAACTTCTGCATCTATTTTATTATTTTCTGTAACTCTGGAATATTTCATAATTTACATTTTTTAATTTTAAGCAAGCAAATAGGCCAGGATAGGTGAAATAAAAATAGCAAATGTTGAAAATTATTAAAGTTGGGTAATAGGTATATTGGGGCTCATTATACTGCTCTTTTCTATTTTTTGTAAGTTTGACATTTCTGTTTAAGTGTGGAATTTCCCATAATAAAAAATTTATTAAAAACTAAAAATTAGGGCGCCTGGGTGGCTCAGTTGGTTAAGCGTCTGCCTTCGGCTCAGGTCATGATCCCATGGTGCTGGGATCGAGCCCCACATCGGGCTCCCTGCTCCGCGGGAAGCCTGCTTCTCCCTCTCCCACTCCCCCTGCTTGTGTTCCTGCTCTCGCTGTGTCTCTCTCTGTCAAATAAATAAAATCTTTAAAAAAAAAAAAAAAGCATCTGTCTTTGGCTCAGGTCATGATCCCAGTGTCCTGGCATAGAGCCTCACATTGGGCTCCCTGCTCAGCGGGGAGTCTGCTTCTCCCTCTCCCTCTGTCTCTCCCCCTGCTTGTGCACACATGCAAGCAGGCACGCACATACACACTCCCTCTCTCCAATAAATAAATAAAATCTTTAAAAAAACTAAAAATTATGGGGCACCTAGCTGGCTCAGTTGGAAGAGCATGTGATTCAAACTCACGATCTCAGGGTCATGGGTTTGAGCCCATGGGTGTAGAGATTTCTAAAAAACATGAACTTAAAAAAAAAACTAAAAATTAAGACTTTCTACATTTTTGGGTGTAATTTGCACATGCACAGAAAGTTTCTGGAAGGTCAAAACAAACTGTCAATAGAGCTAACTCTTCCTTGCTGCCTCAAACAGATACCATTTTTTCAGTTTTCATTTAGAGTTCTCAGGTTCTCAGAGTCCTGGACCCCAAGCATATTATTTAAGGTCTGTGGACCGGGAGGAAGGTGGCCAGGAGAACAACAGTGAGACAGCTGCTGCCCTGGTCCAGTAGGAACAGAACAGGGCTGGGTTCAGACAGTAGCAGTGGAGGTGGAGTGGAGGGACTGATTGGAGAACTATTTCAGAGGTAGAACTGATAGGACCTAACAAGCTCCCTTGAGAGCAAGAATCATCTTTTTTTGCTTAACTGGGTTTCCCTCACAATTGAGGGGTATATGATTCCAAAGAGATTTCCTGTGATATTCCTTACTCGAGTTTAGAGAGTAAAAATTAACATATTTGAACTCTAGCATAGTCCATTTAATGAATGAACTAACACAATTCCCTTTCTCTCCGTTCACAGAAACTATGAACTTGACTATCTCTTTATACTTCGCTCATCAGTTAAACCAATCAGTACATTTCTTTTTTGTTGTTGTTGACTAGGAAGATTTTTGTCACTGCAACCAAAAGTCCTGACTAAAGATTACATATACACAAACTTTTGCATACAATTTCAGGGATTCATGTATTTCCTCTCTCCCCACAAGCTCTTGTACTCTTAGGCCTTCAGTTTTAGAGTGAGGTCTAGCTAAAGTGAATACCTACTCACAATAGTCCCTGCTTAACAACGCTTTGTGGACTCCCACAGTTTGTTAGATGACTGTCCTGGCCTCCCCAACCTCGGTGATGATCCCTCCAGCACCTAGTGCTCCCAGGGGCACTACACTGACTATATCACATGGTACTTGTCTGTGTGGGGCACTGGATGCACATCCCTGGCAAACAGGTTCTTGCCTGTGGTTGTTGCCGAAGCTTTCAACAGTCAGGAGGTTAACATTGCAGAGGGGAACCTCCTCTGCCTCTCCACCTCCCTGGGGATACCTCATGACTTCATGAAGAAGGAAGACAGATGACACAAAGGACGGCCACTTGCTCCCTGAATCTAAACCACTATGGTCAGATCTCCAAGGAGCCTCACACATTGCTTCATCGAATTGCCTGAACAGGCCTTCCGGACCACTTGAGGACACAGTTAATGCCTTTTGGCCTGTGCAATATTCCTGCTACGGTAAGGTCATTGAGCAAAGGTTTTTAGAGAACATGCAGTTTTTTTGCTATTCCCTACCTAACAAATCCTGGGGTCTAAAAAAATCTGAGATTATCAGGGGACAAGAACATTAAGCAAAATAGCTCATCCAGGCACTGACAGACCTCTGACCTCTGATGTTCCTCGGTCAGGAGTTCTCTCACCAGGAGAGAGGGGCCCTGAATCTGCCCTTGCTGTTAATCTGTGCTTGCTGAGTCCCTGGAGGAAGGAGACAGGTGACTTGTTCAACTTGTTCAACTGTTCAGCAGTGGGTCAAGGCCTGTGGCACAGGTGGGTCTGTTGGGGCACTTTCTACCGTTTGCTACTGTCGGGGGGTGGGGGGGGGACTTTCCTCTGCCCTATGGTCCTCACTGGCCTTACAATCAGACTGACATGAGACAGATTATGAGGAGAAACTAAAATTTAACAGGCATGGGGCGCCTGGGTGGCTCAGATGGTTGAGCGTCTGCCTTCGGCTCAGGTCATGATCCCGGGGTCCTGGGATCGAGTCCCGCATCGGGCTCCCTGCTCCTTGGGAGCCTGCTTCTCCCTCTGCCTCTCTCTCTCTGTCTTTCATGAATAAATAAATAAAATCTTTAAAAAAAAAATTTAACAGGCATGTGTAAGGGGAATCCACATAGACAAGAGATTCCAAAGACAATGAGGCAACAGGATGCTTCTGTGAACTAAGAAGGGGTAGGGGCCTGAGGATACAAAGGGAAAAAAACTCATTAGCAAGGTGAAAAGGGATATTTGGGAAAAACAAGGTTGCTCTATTATGCAAATAAATAAGTTCCTGGGGTGAGGGTGTGTGGTCTCTGTTAATACTTTTTTTCCTGTTGCAGGCTCTCCTTTCCAATGTAAATTTTGGGAGTTAAGGGGGAGGCAGAGAGCCTTTACTGCATCTGCTGTGTTTTTATTACTTTTAACTCAATCTTTATGTCAAAGTGGCACATTTTGGGGCAAAGATCTGGCTGAGGCAGTGGGCATGGAGAAGGCATGATAGATGTGAGAGGCTGTAGGGATGAGGGAATGAAGGAGTTGAAATACTGAGGTCCCAAGCTTGGGAGATGAGTGAAAAGACCGGGCTTGCTTTAGGCTATGCCAAATTTAAATTCAAAGGCAAGTAGTCGGATCTAAAAAAACAAAAACAAAACCAAAAACAAAATAAGCTCATAGATAACAGAGGGCAGATTGGTGGTAGGGTTACTGGAGAATGGGTGAAGGGGGTTGAAAGGTATAAACTTCCAGTTATAATCCTGGAAATGTACAGCATGGTGACTGCAGTTAACAACACTGCACTGCATATCTGAAAGTTTGCTAAGAGAGTAGATCTAAAGGTTCTCATCACACACAAAAAAATATGTAACTATAAGGTGATCAAGGTTAACCAGACTTAGGTGAATGCTTCCAAATGTATACAAGTATCAAATCATTAGTTGTACACCTGAAACTAATATAATGTTAATTATACCTTAATTTAAAACAAGTTATTTTTTTAACCCACAATCAAGGTGATCAGAGCTGGCGGGCAAGGAAAGAAGGGAGTAGGGCTAGAGGTGAGGTCAGGTTTGCAGCCCTTGCCCAAAAGAAAACAGCTCTCAGGGGCAGATTTGGAGGTGCCCGCGGAGAAGGCGAACCGTCCGGAGCACAGGACTGCAAACTCATTACGGTGCAGGTTCTTTGCCTCCCTCGGTGCCCCCTCCCCAAAGAGGGGAGAAAGCAGGGGTGGGGCCGGTGGCTGCAACGGTCTCTTCTCGTCTTCGAAGAGAGCGCCCCTTGGCGGGAGGGCCTGGTTTCAACACACTCGACCGCCAGTCCCGGGAAGACCCCGCAATTCCGGCGCAGACGGGCCGCGCCATTTCCCTCCCTTCTAGCGCCCGGCGCCCCAGACTGCTCATCCGGAAAAGGGGCGCTCTGTTCCCCAAGGTCTGAGCAAGGAAGCCGGGCGTCCAGG